TCTCTCTCTCTCTCTCTCTCTCTCTCTCTCTCTGAGCTAACAAATCGTAGCACAAGTAAAGCTTTTACTTCTGCTCCTCGATTGACAAACTTCGACGTCAAGACAACAGCAAAACGTCGGTCACTTTGTGCATCTACGTATCGAAAGATGTATCGACATGAGTCAAAAGAACATAGTTGGGCGACAACGTCAATGGCATAAGCTACTGCAACACGAATCCCGTTCGGTGAGAAGAACCAGCAATCTTAATAGTCGTGCTCCCTTTCGCTGCAGCATTACTCCAGCAGTAATGGGGAGTACAATATGCTTCACCACTCGTTTTCTCACCATCAGGGAACACTGCTCATCTCTCGCAATAAAAAAGCTTCCTCGATTTCTGAAGGGAGACAAGAAGCCGGCCATCGACCATAAAGAATCTAATGAAACCATGACAAAACAATTAGGATTCTTGGTCACACCCTTCTTGACATGGTCAGAATCCAACAGGAAGTGATGTGGTATTGACTTTTTTGACACAAGGAAGTGGTTTATTAATCATGCTTGATGTGCAAGCATGATTAATCGTAGCGAAACAGGAAAAGATTATTCCCGGAATACTTGGTTGCTTCAAGGAGTCGATGGTGGAGGAATCCGGATATACTACACTTTCGTTAGGAACAATGTTGTGTGCGTGTTGTATCCTCACCATTTCGTGTACATTGTTTGAGGGAGAATCTTGCTATTGAAATCTTCCAAAGAGTCGAAATCATAAACAAAGAGTGTGTCGGCATAGCTCGAAGGAATCTGCTCGCCCATCATTCGTTATTACAGACTCGAGAGGTTTCTTGTTCGAGGAGAACGTAATCACTCGACAAAGCCTGCAGACTACTTATTTGCTCTACGATGCTTGCATGGCTAAGTTTTCCGGTGAGTGATGCTCGTACCCTAACATACATAACTGGCTCGATCATTATAGAAATGTGGATGCTGGATGTATATCCATACAATTTACGAAGAAAATAACTTCAGAAAATGATATGAGAAAGAATCGAACGTCCTAAAAGAGATTGCAGATCAACTACTTCAACCTTCCGATTAAACCTCATCTACAAAAGAGGAGGTCGTTCCTGCTTCCGAGGAACAACTGCTGATAGGAACCATCAGCTTCGTTGGTGAATCCAGGAAGAGATATGAATTGGATATGGCATATTTCAGCACCATCCATGTGGCAGCGGTCGATCTCCAGGTTGAGCACTCAACAATGAAACATCTTACATGATATCTAAAGATAATATTTTTGTTATTCTTATGTAACAAATAATAATTATAAAACTTACCGTATAAGATGGTCTTCTCATGTATCTAAAGTTAATCTTTCTATGTGTGTTTTTGTATACATTAAACCAAATCTAGATATTCAAACTTTTTACATATCTTTTTTTCCTACAATAAATAAAAAAAATATTTAGTGGCCAAAGAGATTTTGTCAGATGTACACCATACATAGTTTTTCTACCTACATTGAAAATATATGACAACACTTGAAATCAATTTTGTCAGGTCAGATTGAAGATAAATGATGATTGACTAAATCATCAATCATGATTACTTTAAATCTAATGAGTATACATACATGAAGAAATATCTTATTTTGACAAGTAATTATCTTCTAGCGATATCAATTATAATAATGGCAATAATAAGGTGAGGCACAAATCTCATCCCATCTCAAATCTTGCTTATAAAAATGCATAAACCAACAAATATCATGCAATTATGAGAGCACCAGTGCAACTCTGCATCATAAAGATGAAAAGTAGCACAAAGAAGAAACAAAATTCTAATGTCATATTTTATTTATAAGAATGAAAATAAAAATAAATAAAAAGAAAAAGAAGAGAGAGAAAGTAAAAAAATGAAGATTACATGAAAACATTACATGAGAGATAATAAAATTAAACCCCAGTCATCTTGTCATATGATAGATAGTCCTCCAATTTATGAAAGAGGGTTAACTTCCTGATTCCATGTGGATCAATTACATCATAATGATTTGGACTAGTTCTCTTTCTTTTCATGTATATATTATAAGTTCATGAATTCGAAGAATGGCAATGGATGTATGTGAAACTTTGTAGGGCATATCCTTGTTTGGTAAGACCTCAACATCCCTAATCCAAAGGAAAGTGTCCTAAATGTCAACAACAATGGATTAGTAGTTATCTTCCAAATGTTTTGTCTGTATCAAACACTGCAAATTTATTTAAGGATCATGCCCCTTCATGATGCTTATATATGTCCTATGAGAACTATATGCTAGAAAACATAAATCCATTGTTCAAAACTGTGATGCTTACTTATGTGTGAGAGTGGAAAGAGGGACAAAGAACATTCTTGACTCTTGTTCTTGAGAAATGAAAACAACATGTATGAACTTTTCTAATAAGCCAGCATGAAGCCTTTAGTTGCAATTGGTCACTATAAATTTCCAAGAAAGTATATTTGACATTAAAAAAACTACATTTGACCAAAGCCAAAATCAAATGTAGACTTTATCTAACTCAAAATTATAGGTACAAGATTTCTCTACCTCAGTCTAATTTGGAAGCTTACTAGGGGAAAAATATCATATAATTTTTTTATATAATAATATCATAGTCTAATTTTTGGAAAAAAAAATAAGATACAAATTATTAATCAAAGAACTAAATAAAATTTAGTTTTTGGAGATCATAATAATAATAGAATATAAATATTATAATACAAATTTATGATTAAAAATAGAAATAACAAAAATAAAAAATTACCGTCCTATATATTTTCGATAAAATTAAATACAAAAATTGATCAATAACCAAATTTTTAAATAACTAATTCCTACAATTAGTTTGGTCACTGATTATTAAAATTGGACATTTTAATTCAAAAACATTTTTAATGATAGCAAAGCTCCAAACTAACATGTAATATTTCATAAAGAATTAATACCATAAAATTAAAAAAAAAATATTTTCTAAGCCCAAATAGAAATTCACTGTTACCACTTATAAATTTTACTCTTATCTAATTCCATATCAAGTACCCATCCATGCACTCACTTGATTCTACTTACGCTACTACAAATGTGATTGAAATGTATTCTAATCTAACTTGAATAAGTCGAATAAATATAAATATCTGAAAAAACTTGATCATGTGTCATATACAAAAGACAACAAATAAGTATTTTTTGAACTTGATGAGCTATTCATATATCCAAATTAATTCATCAAATATTGATTTTTTTTTTTGTATGTATCTTTATATATTTATATTCAAAGAATACATATTATATTGGTGGCGTTGGGTGGCTAAGGTGGAGTAGAGATGGGAATCGTCATCATCATGTTCATGCACTGTGTAAGATTGGAGCTCCATCGTTTTCCCATGGCATGTTTCGTAGGACGTCATCCATGTGGAGTCATTGGAATCATGCATGACCATGCGGAATTGTCACCATCATGTCCATAAGCTTTCAGAAAACATTAATTAAGAGCACTTCAATTGTCATTGTTTGGTTTTTGGGTGGGTGGGTGAGTGAGGAGGACTCTCTTCCACCGTAAAGAATTGAAACCAGCTAATTAATGTTCCATCTATCATCGTTGGTGTCCGTATTCCTATGTGGAGAGGATTGGAATCATCACACTCCATCTTCTTAGCCTAAAGTGGAGAGAGGATTCTCTCATCCATCCATGATGTGTTCATAAGGGATACCACAAATAACCTTAAGAGTAGGACAGATAACCGAGGAATAATGTGTAGGCAACCACAAACTTTGAAGAACTCTTAGCTCTGCCACTACAAATAACATGTTTCCAACCACTGAAAGCATTTTATCGCATGATTTCAAGTCCAAACTTGTCTATTGGATATTATTTTTCTATCATGGAAATGACTCTTAAGTTTGATACGAAGGAGTTACATTAAGTTTATTTTTTTATTTAATTTATATTATCATAGACGATTTACTAGCCGAAATGATTGTTCGAAGAACATCCCAATTCATAGGTTACTCGAAGCTATTCACTTACTTAGCTTTATGTTATACGAGAGATTCCAAAATGCTATGATGATCCGACTATTTTGTTGATAATTTTTTTTGTTTTATTAGGGACATAATCAATTTTTTCCTTATAAAAATAAGAAAAGAGAAAGACTTGATTATAATGTTAATTTAATAACTATTTTTTAATGAAATTATTATTAGATTGAATGGTTTAAGAACGAGAAAGTGGAAAGTAATTGGAATGGTATCCTCTCCACGCTCGTGGCTCTATAAAGAAGCATCATGTGACTTCGATCCATGGCGTACGAGGTTAGAGGCTCATGGAGAAGAAGCGGCAGGAGGCGGAGGCGGAAGCGAAGCCAGCAGCGGCAAGGCTGCAATGCAACAAGGGGAAGGCTTGCAGATTCAAGCGGAGCTGCTTCAGCAAGGAGGAGGACGCCATCTCCTCCGCCATCCTCCTCTTAGCTTGTGTCGTTTGTGCTCCTCGCTTCCACGTAGCATCCACCTCCTCCCGTTAACCTCTTTCCTCAGACAACTCCATGTCTTGGAGTAGCTATGTATATATCAAGCACCTTAATGTACAGTATCCGAGACTATTGTGTGAGAATCCAAAATGAGAAGAGAAACTTGCTTCTTTCTGATCCGAAGACCGCACTGTTTGGCTATGAAATGGCTATGGTGGATTCAGCGTCCTGAGCAGCGAATCTATTGTTTCTCTGATCATTTCAATCTAACACTTCAACAGAATAAGGTAGCAGCAGATGATCCAACTCCTTTCTCCGCAATTCCAATGCCCTTAGATATCCTCTCTCCGAGCGTAATCTTGATGGTTTCTGTTGGTCCTGAAAAATTCGTATCACGAATATAACTCCAGTAGGCCAGCCGGAAAGCGTATGACGTTGAAGGACTTCGTCCCGGCCGGAGGTGGCGGAAACGTCAGCGTTGAAGAAGCTGATGACAAAGAGAAAGCCAAGGTTTATTATAAGGGTAAGGGAAAGGTGGTGGGTGTCTCGAGAAGGTAGCCTGTCGTTCCCGGACGACGTGCGCACTCTGGTGGAGTTCTCGTCGGAGGCAGAAGAGGGGTGGAGGTTCACACATTTCAGACAAAGAATGGAGCAGCTCAGTTCTACTCATCCACCTCCGATGGAGACACGAATCTGCGTTTTGATGCATTACGTTACATGAAATCCACTCCAAAGAGGGGTTGACTTTTCTCACTCCATGTTTTCTGCGTTGACTAACACATTTTGTATCAATTTCTGCTGCATTCAACATGCAAATTGTAGCATTGCATGAGATCAATACAAATGCTGTGCTGTGAGATGTTGCTATTCAACACATACATACATTATGGCAATGAATAAATCTTTTTGATGACTTTTCATGTCATACCAATCCTTTCACACCCTTTATATGTGACGGACACCTAACAACAAGAATACTTTTTGTTGGTGACATCCATTTCATTATCAAGCCACTCAAAAACTTGCTTTCGAGTTGACATATTCTTAATGACTTCCGACATTTTTAGCAAGCCATTAAGAACTACAAACAACTCTCGTACTTTTTAATACTGATCTTTGGTTTCCTTACTTTCTTCTGTTTGATCCATCGAAAATTAACTTGGAAAATACTAATTCAGAAAGTGCGTATTAATCCATACATATAATATTTGTAGTATCAATGGATTTTAGTAGAAAAAATATTAAAAAAATTTGCACATTAAACAACTCTCTCTCTCTCTCTCTCTCTGTCTCTGTCTCTCTCTCTCTCTCTCTAACTATTTATTTTCTTTTCTTTAAAACAAACATTGCGGTATTTTTGTAGACCTCTCAGTTAAGAAGGGGATGTAGTATCCCTTGACTATGGTTAACCATGCTCTTGTTATATAAAAGTTGATATGATGTTTCTTAATCTTATCATACAAAATGGATTTGATATTCTCTAATTTTTGTGATGTAATATCCCTTGATTCGTATACATCCTAAAATTCCTTGGGTTTTCAACTTTTCCATAAAGATTTCTTCTTTTTTTTCCTTTAGCCTCAAAAATATCTTCGATAGGACATCCAATCTTGCATTGATGGGTGCACAAAGTGAATTAAATCAGTCATAATATTTTTATATAGGTTTTCAGTATTTCTTTTAAGATGACACCCTACTCACAAATATAAAGATTAAGTTTTTACATTCGATAAGTTAATTTATATTATATTTTGAGTCATTATTCAACGATTACAGTGTTTTTCTAGGTTTATATAAAAGTCATTTTTTTCATGTTTTTGTTTCTAATTCCAAAACTCTAAAATATTTTATGAAACTATAATAAACATAACAATATTAATAATTAGTGTTTGTGAAATTTTAAATTAATTAAATTGATTACAATATCTTTAGTTCAATAAAAAATTTTTTGCTAATTATATATTATCTTTTGTAATTAGTTATCTTTAATATTCTAATTCTTCTACATTCAAAAGTCATATTGAGATCCAACAAAACCTCTCTCTTGATTTTTTAACTCTGTGAAATTAATTTTTAGATTTTAATGTTTCACATTCGTAAGTATAGAAATCTCAATATCATTTTTGAAAGTGTAAGGATCGAAATACTACATGTAGTTAATTACAGAAGATAATTTATAATTAATTTAAAAATATTACAAGAGCTAATTCGATTTATAAATTATTGAAATATACGATATAACCGATTCGATTTTAAATCACCCAATCGGTTAATTGGTACAATCTACTTGGGTTTCAGTGGTCAACTAAAAAGAACAAATATGTCATCACCCAAACCATTCACATACACGCCATCATTTTGCATTATACAACAATTTCATGACTTGAATTGTATAATTATCATCATTCAATCACTAGTTTAGATTCTGATTCTTACCTATTATTTTACTTCAAGATCGTCGTCATGTCATCAGTGTCATGTGATAGCTACATCAACAATGAACTCGTTCCAAGTTTCGGACAAAAGACCAACTGTCCTTGTTGAAATCATCACCAAGTTTACCAATCTAATCCTGCTGTTCTATGTTGACCTTCCCATCAATGAATGGATGGATTGCCGATGTTCTAATCTCATCACTATATATAGTATTTGGCCGGCGGCATCCCCCAACCCAATATGCTGCCGGCTCTATTTTCATATCATGCTTCGATTCATCAGCAAATTAATTGTATGTTGTGAAGGTGTTTTTTAATATACTCATACAAATATTAAGATCGGATTTTATATTAAACACTTTTGTCTATACTTGAATGTTTTCATCATCATAGTGAACTAGAATTGGATATTTATATTTATATTTTATTTTTATTTTCTTACAAAGTTAATTGATGAAGTCGACGATTCGATCTCGACACTATGCTAGTTTGATATCTTCAAAATTATAAGAACATCAATCTATGATAAATCATTCTAACATATTATCATCAAACTAATATATTGGTGCGAATGAACAGTTATCATTTTTTTCTGTCTAAATCTAAAAGGTATTTTTCTGTGAAAAATCTAAAATATATATATATTTTTTTTTTTCCGTAGCAATCGCCGTATATTCCAATGAATGAACATGAAGTCCACATCTCAGTCTTTCATATATTGATACTGTTATGCGATCTTGCTTCATTCCATCGTCCCACTCTTCCTTCTCCACCATACTGAGTTCATCTGAGGTTTAGCCATGGATACAGAACCTCTTTCACTCCCCGAGGCCCATGGCAGCAGCTACAACAACAACAAGGTATATATGTAGGATTGGATAACCTTTCTCCTATGTTACCTATGCCTCATCTTCTTCTTGTCTTTCTTCCTTCACAGAGAATAGAATGAATGTGTCATGATCAAGGCATTCTTGTAAGCTTTCATGACTGCCGCAAATCACAAATCGCCATATATTCCAATGAAAGAAACATGAAGTCCATCCACATCTCAGTCTTTCGTGTATTGATGCTGTTATCCAATCTTGCTTCATTCCATCATCCCAACTCTTCCTTCTCCACCTCTACTCCACCGTAGTGTGTTCACCCGAGGTTTATCCATGGATACAGAACCTCTTTCACTCCCCGAGGCCCATAGCAGCAGCTACAACAACAACAAGGTATATATGTAGGATTGGATAACCTTTCTCCTATGTGACCTATGCCTCATCTTCTTCTTTCTTCCTTCACAGAGAATAGAACGAATGTGTCATGATCCAAGCATTCTTGCCGAACTGCTTCCTTTACAATTTATTATCTTTGATAACACGCAGACAGCGCAGGAGAAGTCTATTGATGATTGGCTCCCGATCACATCATCAAGGAATGCCAAGTGGTGGTACTCAGCCTTCCACAATGTGACGGCCATGGTTGGAGCTGGTGTTCTTAGCTTACCGTATGCCATGTCTGAACTCGGATGGTAACTTCTAAATTGGAATCTTCATAAGGAATCTAAACATTCTATTAACTTAGATAATTTTATTTTGATTGATTTATTTTTGCATCTCTCTTCTAATAGAATCTAAACATTCTATTAACCTTTTCCGTCATTGTCTAACATATGCACATATTCTCTTGAAATAAATAGGGCTCCGGGAATTGTAGTGCTCGTGGTGTCATGGATCATCACACTGTACACTCTGTGGCAGATGGTGGAGATGCATGAAATGGTGCCCGGGAAACGCTTCGACCGCTACCACGAGCTCGGCCAGCATGCCTTCGGCGACAAGCTCGGCCTGTGGATCGTGGTGCCGCAGCAGCTGGTAGTGGATGTCGGCGTCGACATCGTCTACATGGTCACCGGCGGCAAATCCCTCAAGAAGTTCCACGAACTCGTCTGCCCCGACTGCACACCCATCAAGCAGACCTACTTCATCATCATCTTCGCCTCCGTCCACTTGGTCCTGTCCCAGCTCCCCAACTTCAACTCCATCTCCGGTGTCTCCTTGGCCGCAGCCGTCATGTCCCTCAGGTCCTTCGCCTGCACCGCGCCGCGGGCTACCGTCAGGTCCTTCCTCTTCTTCTTCTTCTTTGGCTGATCGTTTATGTCGATCGTCTCCAGCTACTCCACCATCGCCTGGGGAGCTTCGGCGGACAAGGGGAAGCAGGCGGACGTGGAGTACGGCTACAGGGCTTCGAGCACGGCGGGGACCGTCTTCAACTTCTTGAGCGCGCTGGGGAACGTCGCCTTCGCCTACGCGGGGCACAACGTGGTGTTGGAGATCCAAGCCACCATCCCTTCCACGCCGGAGAAGCCGTCGAAGAAGCCGATGTGGAAGGGCGTCATCGTCGCCTACATCGTGGTGGCTCTCTGCTACTTCCCGGTGGCTTTGGTTGGGTACTGGGCGTTCGGCAACGCTGTGAAGGACAACATCCTTATCACCTTGAATAAGCCCCGATGGTTGATCGCCATGGCCAACATGTTCGTCGTCGTTCACGTCATTGGAAGCTATCAGGTACGAAGCTTTTTTTTGCACTACGTTCCTAGAAATATTCACACATTTAAGTTGCATAAATTATGTTGTGATAACTAATTTAAATTTGATGGAGACATATATTGAATCCTATGCTAACCATGTAAGCTTTTGGAATTTATGATCGCCCAATTGAATCTATCATCCATGCAGATCTATGCCATGCCGGTCTTTGATATGATGGAGACAGTGCTCGTCAAGAAACTTCATTTCCCACCCGGCCTAACCCTTCGTTTGATTGCACGAACAGTTTACGTTGGTAATTCATATTCTTCAACTCACATTTCCTCTGCTCTTTAGGCACAAAAAAACCCATTTCTAATTCTGTTCTTTTGCGTGATTTCATATGCAGCATTCACAATGTTCATTGCCATAACCTTCCCCTTCTTTGGAGGACTACTCGGATTCTTCGGAGGCTTCGCATTCGCCCCCACCACGTACTTTGTGAGCATTCCATTCCTCTCCTCTCCTTTCCTTCTCGGACTATAAACATCGATGTCTTCTTCTCTATTATAAATGGGTTTGAATCCTTCACAGGTTCCTTGCACAATCTGGCTTGCCATCTACAAGCCAAGAAGGTTTAGCTTCTCTTGGATCACAAACTGGGTAATAATCAAACACAACTCACCTACTTCATCTCTTCTCTTCATAATCTCATGAATTCCCACCCCCTTCCTTTCAGATCTGCATCATCCTGGGGATTATGTTGATGATTTTGTCTCCTATTGGTGGACTGAGGCAGATCATTCTCGAGGCCCAGGACTACAGTTTCTATTCATAGACTGCTATATACGAAGTTAGAATATAAATGGAACATCAGAAACAGTATACTTCCTATATCATAGAAATAAATAATGGAGCTTCTCAGAAGTCTATCAACTCTTTGTTTGCTTTAATATTATCAAATGCGATGAACCATCATCAATCTTTAGCTTATGCATAAACTGATTGTGTGTAAATAATTTCTTAGGTGTTTTTTCTTTTTCTTTTTATGGATGGTCCGACACAGGCATAGTCATCTGTCACCAAGAAACATATGCTATGAGTCACCGGTGATTCTACTGCGGTTACCCGGATCCACATCGACAAATCATCCACAATAGCTTTTGGGGTCAGATCAGCATGCTCCCATCTCGGGCATGAACCAAGTCTGGTCGTCCCCAACATCACATTCGAAGATGGCCTTTGAGCATAACAAAGAACTATATAATTGATAGCCACACGAGACACCAAAAGTTCTTCAACACGCACAATGACAATTCTTCCAAAGTATCTATTTTCATGTCTTTTTATCCCATGTCAAAGCCTTCTAGTCCCAACTTTGTCCACATAAGTTGAGTTGCCTTTGTCCCTTCGTCAATTGCTTCATCAAGATAAGGTACGTGTGCCTCGAAGTTTCCTTCAACTTTAACACCATGCAAAATGAGTTTGCTCTATTAGAACGAGAGACCCATGGAACAATATGATCTCGCTCTTGTCTCTGCAAAAGTTTATGTTCTTGACCTCTATCCAGGAAAAGCTTCGAACTTCTACTCTATGTTCCATCTTCTATGTTGACTCTTTTCATGCGACTTAGGCACTTCACCAAGTTCCACCTAAGTTGCTTTGCTACTCTATTGGTATTAAGTTGATGGTGACCCTCGCACCTACCATTTCATGAGTCAGTCCTCCATTGAATCCGATCTTCACATCGACTTTAAGTGTATCTTCATTCAGTATTACCTTGAATTACTCCCCCACTTGATCTCGCAACACGTCCACTAACACATCACCTCATACGAGATTATGCAACGATTCTTTATTGCTAGCTCGGTTTATTGAGCTTTATTGGGCTATTGTCTCGAGGTACACTTTATCAACATATGTGGTTCGTTACACATGGTTCTCTCTCTAAAAAATTAAGACTTGTCTCTCTTAGATATTTGTCGAATTGGAGTAACTTTTCTTCTTGTATCCTTCTCTCTGAAAGTTTCAAAGACCACCATCAACTTGGACTACTCCACCTAGCTGAATAAATTATGCAATGTTTCGCCCTCGTAAACACGCTTGTTAAATTATAACTCTTCGCTAATACAACCCCCATCATATCCCTCAAGGCCTAGTAACATGTTGAATTTGCTATACACTTTAGCCTCATACGGATATATCCTTCCCATGCAGAAAATAAAGTTTTAATGCTCCATGAAATCAAGTTTTAATCACCTTAGTTAAGATGACCACGGACGGTCCATTGTCCGCATATAAGCCTTTACATAAGTACTGAATTCTTCGAGTTAGTAATTTTCCTCACTTTTGTGAGCTTTGCACAACTCTTTCGAACGTCAAGTAACACATCCCTCCTTGCATGGTCTCATCCTCTGCCAAACGCTCTGCTTACCTTGAGCACCGTCAAGTTTGGTTGTCAACATTAAACCATAGCTCGAACTTAGCCATCACAACCATTATGTGCTATGCATTCTTTCCAACTCACTTGCCTTTGTGGTGCCTCTCACGCGAAGACTTGGTCATTCATCTAATGTCAATCTCGGATATCCACTCTTCTAAGTGACTCCTTTCTCTACGTCTCTATGCTCATTTTCTTCAAATAATCATACATGCTGGCTACCCTCAAAGCAGTCCTGTTAGGTCCTCCATATTTGTATGTCAAGTGTTTCTATGTGTGCTTGTCCCGCTCCGATACCATCTATCATGGACTTAGCTGGTTTTGTCTAAGTCGTATGACACCTTTGTGTGTCCGTCCGCAAAAGGGTCAATCTCCCTGAAACCTCTTATGGTCCCTTAAGAACCAACAAAAGAGAAGACATGTTAAATAAAGTGTTTAACTCGAGATCAAACAAGCAGTCATTTCAACAAACACTTGATAGGCAATGCAAATAAAAAATATAGAATTCGAAGGCTCTGAACAATTGCATGGCAAAAGGTCTAAGATAGTCCGTCATAGCCAAAAATCCCCATAAGTGCCTATATGACACTACTATGAATCAAAACAGCGAACTAGCCCTAAACACTACCCCAAAGGCCCATCTAATCATATGCCACCCGGATAGCTCCTGGGTGCTATGCTGGTTGACACTCCACACCACATTACAGAGCTAGAAAACCCCCAAACCATCGAATCTAGTTATTCACTAAATTGCACGAACAGCTTATGTTAGTAATGTCTGCTTGATTTTGGCCATATCAGTATTTCTATTTTATTTGCATACTAATATCTGCTAACTGTTTTTTCAGCATTTACAATGTTCATTGCTATAACCTTTCCCTTCTTCAGTGCACTACTTCGGATTTTTTTGGGAGGTTTTGCTTTTGCCCCAACAACATTGCGAGCTCAATTAACTCATGAACAATTCTTTTTCTTTTTTCATTCAGCAGACAATTGTCTCTGACCAATCATTGAAAGCATTCATGAACCCAACTAATTGCATTTGAGTGCTGTGCAAAATTCACCAAATGGATCTCATGAATTATTATGCAGCTTCCTTGCATAACGTGGCTTTCCATGTACAATCCAAGAAGGTTCGGCATGCCTTGGATGATTAATTGGGTAAGTGAGTTCCCTTAAATCTATTGCATCTGAAGCGCATTTTATAAAATTATGCTGATCTTTTTGCACTCTTCAGATCTGCATCATACTTGGAGTAACACTGATGATTTTGGCTCAAATTGGTGGATTAAGGAAACTCATTATTCAAGCCAAGACTTACCAATTTTACTCATGATTTACTGGTCCAAATAAAAGTAGAAAATTGAAGTTTTAGAGTCACAAGAGTGACGATAACCACAACAAATAGTCCAAGACAAAACTGTGCCTGCTTGGTGCAAAAGTGCCTCACGTTTGATGCATAGTTCCTTAATTTGATACTTTAAAGAAATTATATATATATAAATAGATTGGAGAAGGTATCATCAATCTGTCCCTTAGTTTTTTCTGTGGAAAAAACTGCTAACTCATGTTTATTTGTGTCATAGTTTGACACAAGTTTTTGCTCTTGTCTGTCGAACTATCAATTGACGTACTATCTTGGATATTTTCTTAAAAGTAATGCCTTCTCAGGAAGGATGGAAGACTTGTTGCACAATGAGGCTTTGGAGCAGAAGATAGAGGTTCCATGGCCAATAAATAAAAGAAATCAGAAAAATAGTTCCATCTCTAATGATTTTGTGGCATTGAACATGGCTTTTGTGTTTCTTCTCAGTAATTATTGCTAGAACTTAAGACTTCCGAAACTGCAGATCTTTTGGTAGATTATTAGTATTTTTCCTGGTATATTGATCTGAGATTAAAATGCTCCAAAAGTTTCAGCCATGTATCTATCTTCTGAAATTAATGTTCATCACACCAGGTACAAGTCTGTACTAAAAGTCACTTCTTGTATCTCATTTGCCTAACATCTCATACCTGTTTTTATGGTTGTCTGTATGTGAACTAGTTCTATTCCATCTCAGTTATTCTCTTCATAGACATATTTTTGTATTTAATTATGATCACCTCCATTTGTTATACCTTGTCATCGTTAAAAATTTCATCGTCCGCATATCCATTTTCATCAATTTCCTTCCCCTTTGGTCAAACCTCTGACATTGGCTCAACATTTATATATCTCATGGGTGTGGTAGACCTTAAAAAATGATAATTGCTAGAACTATAACTTCTTCCTCCTCATCATACAGAATGTTAACTAATATGGTTGCCACCATCATGTCATCTTTGTGCTACGGGTTTGTGCAGTTTCAATTTTATCCAAATTTAGATGGAAATATAATCAATCGATCTGGGAGCTCTTTTTTCCGACAAAACGAAACCATTTTATCATACAAAACAGACCATTGTATCACATGAAACAAAAGTCTGCATTTTTGGTTCGGTTTCTAATGCAGTTTCAAGTTTCTTATAGTCCTGTTGGTGCTATTTTAAAAGGTTCAGCTGTTCAATTTCTCTAGCATTGATCAGTACTAAATATATGAAACATCAGGATGTCATTTAACAGTCAATATATAGGGTAAATGCAATACAACTACTAAAACAATAATTAAAAAACAAATAAAGGTAAGTAATTTTTGGATATGGCATTTGAAAAATAGGATGGAAATGTTCAAATAATATAGCCTGAGAGTCAAATTACCTCCACGATTTCCATCGAGAACATATCAACCTGACTGCAACTTCAGTGAGCTACTGGGTTGGATATCCCCGATCTCCGACCTGTGCACAGCAATCTCATGAACAAACTAATGTAGCATAACATCCAAGCATTACATGTATTATATATTCCACTCAAAATGGAAGGGTTCATATCGCACATTATATGAAACATAGGTGGCATTGCATCTTTCCGTCCAGAAAAATCATCCAAGTATTCAAGATCATGTTATAGAAGTCACATTCCTATTTGGTGGGGGTGGGTGCCTTCACCAACGATTAGAATAGCCAATGACATAAACAAATCACAGAGCATTGAGATGAAGAACCTTGCAGAACCCGTCAAAAAGCAAGATTTTACCTTGGTTCGTTGATTGCTTGGCCAAGTCTCAGAAAGAGTTCGTCTTTTCCCTGGATGCGGTTCAGAAATATCAGATGTGACGATTTCCATCCATTTCCCCCTTCTTTCTGGACTCACCGATCATGTTGTTCTTAGCACATCAGAAAGGCTCTATTGGGCGCGTCGACAATCTCAAATCGAGAAACAAGAACGAAAAGAAGAGGAACAAATCACAAGTACCTCATAGAACAGAGAGGCGAAGTGATCGAGCTCGAACGCGAGCAGCCAGATCTTGAGCAAACATGGGAGAAGTGCTGATCGCTCGGAGGAGTCGAGTATGTATAGGTTTGGGAAGTGGGCCCGATATCTATCATATGCAGCTTTGAGGATTACACACGCGCAGCTCGGTGACGGTGTTACT